GAAGGAAAATAAAACAAAAAGAATGGAATCAGAGGCCTGTATTTATTCCCATTTGGCTGAGTGAGCCTGAGACAAATCGTGTGTCTCTTCTGAGCCTCTTTTATTCTCATCTGTAAAATGGGAAGAGCAGCCCATCTGTCTACACAACTTTGTATTGACTGTTTCCAATGGAAGAAAGGGGAAGTGGTTATCAGCAACTAAGGGGTGGACAGATGTAAGGGCATCTCTTTATGGTGATATATTTGTCATAAATACAGATCGTTAGCCTTAACGTACATCCAATCCAGGAACAAGCTGTCACAGTTTCAGAGAGCCACAGAAAGAATTTGGTTCAGAGCAGTTCTTTCCTATCTGAATCTTACCCAGTAGGCAATTATTTTGTTACTTTGATTCATGGGATGATTTAGTTACAGCCTGTGATGTGGTCATAGGKTTAGTTTTCAAGGTTGAGTGAGAATAAATTTTTTGGTGACAAGTATCTTGGTGACAAGCAAGACAATATCCTGGTAAGAAGTTATYCATCAAAACCCAGCACTCAGAAGCCTACATCCCAGTAAATGGGTGAAGGATGAGAGCTTRTTTGGCAACAAAGCTCTTTCTCTGTCACTGATTATCTGGAACTGAGACGATGTTAATTGTTAAATTAAAGCATCTGTAGCTGCTKCTACTGAGAGCAAGCCCTGCTCCTCTCCTCTTTATAAAGATGAGCTAAGCAGAGGTAACAGAAGTTGCTTTTGGCCAGCTGTCCTGTAGTGTACATTTGAGCAAGATAGATATTGACTGCCAGGAAACTGTACACAACTTGCCAGAGAAAATTTWAAAAAAAAAGGAAGAAGTAAATATTGAAGATATCKGAGATGCCTAGAAATGTTTGCACCTTTGCCTGCCAGAGTGTCTGGCACTACCAAATACCCAATGTGTAGTTATTCTATGAATGAGTGAACAACTGAACTAGTGGACGGAAAAGAAACGGCTGGGGGAGGAGCTCAGTGGTAGAGCACTGGCCTAGCATGTATGTTTGATCCCCAACACTGCAAAAAAAGGTGGGGCAGCACTCCATCCTTGAACTATCACATAGTAGAACAAATCTACTTCACTTGGGCAGCAGCGATAGAGTTGGGGAAAGTATTGTCATATTCTAATAGTCCAACAAAATAGAAAAAGAAAAATTTTTTTTTTTTTTTTTAATTTGTGGTGTTGAGGATAGAGCCCAGAGCCTCATGCTTGCTAGGCAAGTGTTCAAAACAATGAAATTTTTAAAAAATGTATTCTTAGTTAAGAGAATACTTAATCAAATAAATAATCAAATAAATGTGAGCAGTAGAAAATATCAATAGCTTAGAGTTATACCATAAACATGTTTTGAGTATCTTTGTATGCCAGGCATTGTGCTAACCTGAGGATGCAGTGGTAGGCAAAACAGCCCTAGGCCTAAATGATGCTGCAAAGTAAGAAAAAATGATTTATTATTGGATGCATAGTATAATCCAAAGCTCAGACACTGAAAGAAAATTTGACCTATTCCAGAGAGCAAAAGCATGTGCATAGGCCCTGTGGCAGGAAGAGCAGGAAGTGTGTTTGAGGACCTTGGGGGAGGCCAGGGTCCTAGAATGCAGAATGAGGGGGAGATAAATTAGCAGTTGCTGTAGCCAAAACGTTGTGTATTATTTGTGAAAATTTGTAATCCCAGATGGAGATAGTACATGTAAGTACAAAAGAGAACATGAATTTTAGGTGATAAGAGTCTATAGAAGTAGGCGTCTCAGGGTATGCCATCTCTGCATTGTGAAACAAGCAGAACAAAATTTGTAGAGACCACTCAAAATAAACTACGAAATGAGCTCAGTCYGATTCCTGGGGGGAGCGGGTGTGAGTGCACAGACAAGGATACGAACGTGATTCTGGCTGTGTCTGGAAAGGGGCAGGGTGGGCCATGTGACTTTTACATTAGAAGCTATTATCTGAGTCACACATCTGATGTTGATGCACAATGACCTGTGAGGAAAGTCAACCAGCAAATGAGTGTGTTGTGCCGTTTTTGACACCTTCTGGACTCTGGAGGGGCCCTCTCGCCCAGTCTTCTGTTTGTGATGTTCCCTTTTCACTACTGTATTTCTCATCCCAAGTCTGGAGAGATGGGGATAGAATTCTTCAGCCTCAGTGCAGATCAGCTGTCCTTGAAGGTGCCCTGTAAACCACTAGGCCATGTGTGGGGATTGGCAAGGCGTCTCACACAGAGGCATGGGCTTTTCAATTTCAATTTTATGTGTTTGGTTATCTTCCAAGATAAAAAAAAAAAAGTTAATATTTGTTAATGATGGTAGYGGATACACTTGCACATGTTTTATTATCACTTGACTTTTTTCCTATATGCTTTTTTTTAAATTAGAAGGAAGGAGAATATATTTATATTTTTAATTGGAAAGAGCGGGGTCAGCTAGAAGGGAGGAGGGAGGAGCACTGGCATGACTTGGCAGATCACTCCTCCCGTCCTCAGATACCTAAAGAGAAGAACTGGAAGACAATGATCTTGTAGATCCATCGTAACTCTTGGGCATTCCATTATGCTAACTTCTAAAAGCAGTCGATTACTGGATCATCCTACTTGTGGGCTTGAGAATCCAATGTCCCATGCCCATAAATTCCCAATTCTTTAAAAGACCCAATCTTGCTTGGCACAAGATAACCATTAGCTCTCTCTAGAGGAAACTGATGCCTTGAAATTCATTTGCTGAGTGGCATTTTTGAAAAATCATGATCCCGCAGGATGTTCATATCCATCCTGGGCCAGACTCCGGAGTCTGGAACCATTCAGAAGCCTGTGCTCCTGTGAGGCAACTTCCCATTCCTCACACACATGCTGGCTTCTCTCTGGGTTTGCTGGGCACCTTTAAGGACAATGATACGTACTGWGACAGAAGAATCCTATTTTTTTCTCCCCATACTTCAGATTGGAAATACAGTAATGAAAGGAAAATGACACAAGCAACAGACCGGATGAAAACACCCACTAAAGTGTATAAGGTGTCACTAATTGCAAAGCACACTCACTTCCTGGCTTACTGACTTTTTTCAAATATATCATTGTGTGTCAGGATCAGATGTGTGCCTTAGATTGTAGATTTTTTTTTTTTAACCAGGCACTTACCCACTTAGCCACATCCCCAGCCCTTTTGATTTTTTATTTTGATATAGGGTTTAGCTAAGTTGCTTAGGGACTTGCTAAATTGCTGAAGCTGGCTTTGAACTTGTGATCCTCCTGCCTCGGGCTCCCAAGTCCCTGGAGGATAACATGTGCCACCAGGCTTTTTTGGCTGTACTGGGAATGGAACCCAGGACCTCATGTGTGCTAGAGAGTGCTTTACCCCTGAGCCACATCCCACACCCAAATTATAGCTCTTTGAAAAAAACAACGGTGCCATGATTTTGCAGATTTGTTTTGGACAGTCATTATATAGGCTGGCATCCTGTACCACCTGAGTCTCCACAAACACTAATTAATGTGGATAATAGTATTCATAACCATATTCTCAGCTGCCCCCCTCTGGCCAGCCTCCTTCCTCTGGGGGAATGGCAGGAGGGTAGCCTTCCCTTCCTGCCACAGGCAGCAGAGGAAGTGTAGAGGAGGTGACACCGGCCCTCTGCAGAGTCAGCAGCCCTTGCTGAGTGCAGGGAATGTCCTCCGGGCCACCAGCTGCCTTTGCTGCCTCCTCTCCAGTTTCTCTTAGGAGAGTCAAGTTTCCTTCCAATGCGCTGAATGAATGGGAATAAGAAAGTGTGCACTGGCAGAACTTCAGCCAAACAGAGCCAGGGCTTTCCAAGTAAGAGCAGGAATTTAAGCAGAGCAAGTTTCGAGTCAATGGGACTCAGAGTAAATGGCCATTCTGCTAATAATGAAAAGTACAAATGTTTTTATGTTCCAAGGTTAACAAATGGGATTCTTTCACTGCCCTACTACTGGCCTGCTCCGTTACAAAGTGGAAACTGTTCCTGATCTTTGCTTTATTGCACTTGTATTTTCCAAGCAATTAGAAGCATTTTCCACTTGGTATATAAGGGTTGGAGCGGGCTCAAGACTTTTTTTAAAAAAAAAAAAAAAAAAAAACAGAAGTTTCCTTTTCTTTTAAACTAACATTTTCTCATTTTGCAAGTAGACTGACGTTTTTTAAAGAACAGGTTTTTCGAATAGCACATTTAGACTTTGCCTCTGTAATTATCACATTTGTCATGAGATTAGCACTTTCCAACAGTATTCTTCTATACCAGATTCTCATTTCGCCCAGAAGTGTGGTTCTTCTTAGCATATGATAGGAATTTAGACAGAATGGGCTATCCTCTAGGACTTCTGTTATAAACACAATCGTTACAAAGAAAATGAAAGCCATTTATTTTAATGAACCAGAAATCTAAACCCTCCATAAAGACCTTTGGCAATTCTTGTTAATGATGTTTGTTTTTATTTGCTTCTCAAATTCACCTGTTTTGCCAACTTCCCAGAGCAGACCACAAACACTGCCACCAAAAACTATTTTGCTTAGTTCCTTGGGCTCTTTATATGCAGTCTTACCTTTCCCTGAATCAAACTATACCTTTAGCCCAGTCCTCSATTTGAGAGCATCTGGGGCCACTTGGGGTTGGAAATCAGCATTAGTTGAAGGTACCATTCTGGTCTTGGGCTGCAAAGAGCATGTGATAATGGTTCATGTTTCACTTCCCCTCCAAATGGTGGACATAATGAAACTTGCAATGTCAGGGGTTATTTTATTCCATTATTTTAAATGAAAGCTAGATGATAGCCTCACTAACATGCTGGAGAATTGCAGAATCCCTTAGCACCCCCATGTCACTGAATGCAGGTAGCTTGCAAACCCATTCCCACTTGCCTCCCTCTCCCTTCCCCGACACTACTGGTCCCCTCACCCAAATAGAGAGATTCTGACAGTGGTCAGAAAATGCAGTAAGCCACAGGTACTGAGCTCCACATCCATTTTCCTTGTCAGATCTCCCAGCTGATGACAGAGACAAGCCGGGAGGGCCTGACAGAAGCAGCTCTGAACCGCTACAATGCAGACAAGCCAGCGGCCTGCAGYGTCCCCGCCTCACAGGGCTCCTGTGTGGCCAGTGAGACTTCCACAGGCACCTCGGTGGCTGCTTCCTTCTTTGCAAGGTAAGAGATGCTTGGACCCTTGGTTCTTTGACATGTGCCCAGCTGGTTGGCCTTCCACRTGGACCCATTCAGCTTGAAGAATTAGTTTGGGGCTGTCCTTTGACCTTGCTCATTAAGATGAAATTTCTCAACCTTGACATGATTGACATCTTGTATCAGAAGACTGTTCATGGTAGGAATTGTCCTGTGCATTGGAAGATGTTTAGGAGCATCCTTGGTCTCTACCCTGCAGATGCCAGTGAGAGCTCTTCCACTGTTGTGACCACCAAATACGTCTCCAGACATTGTCAGATGTGCCCTGGGTTGAGAACCACTGCTGTAAGAACATATGGCTCTAAAGCTAGTCCTTCTTGGGATGAGGACTTGTATAGGTCGAACCCTGTGGCTGATATTTCCAGATGATCTGCTCATTACAGAAAATGACTGCCTAAAAAACTATTAAATAGATTGGTCTTTCTTTCTTTCTTGACAATGGATCAAATACTGTCCAGCTAATCTGGGAAACATAAAAAAAATGAGAAACAAAAAAGAAAGGTATTTTAACAATGTTTTCTGCCTAATTTTAGCAACATGGCAGAGACAGGACTGGAGACAAAGGACAGCTGAGTGGGAAGGAACTTTGGTGATTGTCTAATTCGATCTCCTTATTTTATGAATGAGTAAACTGAGGACCAGAGAGTTCAACCATGAGTTAATTTATAGTAAAGCCAGAAATAGAAACCAGATTCCTCTACTCTTTTCTCTATGACTCATTCTTTATTTGACACTTGGAGATTAACCTTAGAAAACAGTCTCTACCAAAGATTTGCAAGCTGCTGAGTAAACAGGATGTTAAATAGATAGCTCCAGATAAGATGTTAGAAGATCCCAGTTCTGCCTCAGTTTCCTCATCTATACAATGACGGTAACACCTACTCTGCAGGATTGCAATGAGGTTTAAAATGAGACCAGTGTAAGTTAAAAAGTACTTCTATTAGTTCAGTATGAACTTAGCCAGTGTGTTGCTAAGAAGGAATTTTGTGTGTGGCTGTTCGTATCCTTGTGAAAGATGTAATCCAAGACAAAAATATGAGAAAGGGGCTCTGAGGAGGAAAGAAGCAAGTCCATGTGGGAAGTGAGGACTAATGTCCTGAATTAAGACCCCATAAAAGCGGTGCATGGAGCCTATTGGATCATGCAGTTGGAGGGGCTCATTGTGCTTTGGTGCCATACTTATTGTTCTCTGGATACTGGGCCAACTTGAATGTAACAGGAAATACATGGGTATAAATACTGGCCACCCAACAGTGGGGGCCATTTTTTGCTCTTGTCTGTACATGCATTTCTGTGTTGTTCAGACCATTGGGCAGGAACCCCAAGTTCCCTGGGAAGCGTTATCCATGCCACTTAGAAAGGGAATGAAGAAGTGAAATAGTTTATGAGGAAATGTCACCAACACAGAAGATCCGAGGATCAGATAGGTTATGAGAGTGTCTGGAAGGGGCTGACCAAAGTATTTACCTAAGAAATCTTTGACACTTGAGCTTAACCTTAGGAAAATGTCTCTACTAAAGATCTGCAAGCTCCTGAGTAAACAGGATGTTAAATAGATAGCACCAGATAAGATGTTAGAAGAAGTGTTGAGAGGGTTCAGTCTGGAGAAGGATCAGGGCTACCTTCTTGCTRCTGTAAGCATTCTCTTGGATCATTGTGTAAAAGGGGATCTGGTTGGTTCTGTGGAGCACCCAAGTGTGTAGATGACGACTGGATGAACCTTAATGATGGAATGGAGAGATTGCCCAGCTAGCAATGAAGGTAAACTTGCTACAATTTTCAGACTGCCCCAGGGGAGAGTGAAATCCCCATCAACAAGGGAGATCAAGTATGCTTGGAATGATTACCTGACCTCAGTGCTTGACATTTGRTGCTCTACTGAGAGGTGGCTTCCAATGCTCCTTTCTACCCTGACATTCTTTGAACTTGAAAAGTCTTGAGAATCCATTCAGAGAAATTTGTAGGAAATCATCTTACTCAACCCCAAAACAAACAAACAAACAAACAAAACCCAGAAGAAAGATTCAAAGCAGGAAGAAATAAAGTTAGGACTTCCAAGGGACATTGTTTAGAGAGATAAGTGTTTAGGATCCTTCTTGTTCCAGGAAACCAGCAATGTCTTTAAAGCCAAAGAAAAGATGCCAAAATAAGATAGGCCTGGGAAGGCCTGAGTATAGACAAATGGTGTGCCTGGTGCCAGATTTCAGTTCATCAGGGAGGATCTAAAAAAAAAAAAAAAAGGCAACTGTCATCAGGGAAGGAATGACAGATCACTGACAAAGGTGGTCTTCTATGGGACTCTTGCTTGTACAGTCAGGAAGGGGGCAGTGTGGGAATGGAGATGCCCATGTGAACCCCAGATGGATGGGCCAAGGATAGCAATTGGAGGAGGCCCTCCAGTAAACAAAGACTCTGAAACTCATCTCTGCAAACTCTTAAGAGCTTGAGGTATTAGCTTTCAAAGAACTGGAAAAGATCCATTGGGCTGCCTAATTCCCAATTATTTTCTTTGTCATAAACACTAATAGCCCTTGGAGTTTAATGGTATAAGCACTGACAGCACATGGTTTGTGTTCAAAGGGCTTACAGTGCACAGTGGAGGGGGAGTACCAGTGTGAAAAAGAACACACAGAAACACGCACACATACACACACATCTTACCCTCCCTCACCCATTACCCCATTTTGCTCTGCCATTCTCCTGGGCAATAATTTGATTTTCCCTCCTCCAAATGCTGGAGGCAGCATATCTGTCACTGATGGGCACCTACAGCAGAAGACTGAGTACCTTATTAAGGTCTGCCATCAGAACCAGCTCAGCTTTTGTTGTCCAACAGAACTGAGTCCAGCATCAAAGAGCCTTTCAGTTTCAGCTAAAGCAGAGCTGTGTAAGGTGATGTCACAGGCAGCTTTTGAGAGAGGTAAAATGTGTATTTGTTTCTGGTGTCGATATTGTAAATGCTTTGGTGGTAATGGATTTACATGGAAGAACAGGAGTCTCTGTTCTCAGAGGGATTTGGAGACGAAATAAGTTCCTTTATGTCTCCAATCTGTGCTCACCATGCGTCAACTCTTCCTGCTTGGTTGTATGATGGAGATACAGCCCTCGGAGTCTGCTGGGCCCTGGAACAAGTAGCTCCAAGTCAGGACACAAAGGGTGGCTTTCTTGCAGGAGGCCACACTGGGGGTCATGTCATTTTTATACAGGAGGGATATTCATTTACCAAATTTGTGGCAAATACTCAGTGTTTATCACTCACCATTAACTAAGCTTCTGATAGGCACAATCCTCCTTCATCTTCAGAATAATCCTATGATATAGATCCTATTATGTGCTCTGTATTATGGCTAAAGAAAGTGGGACCCGGAGGTTACATTACTATGTTAGCATCTGTCACTATAACAAACACCTGAGATAATCAACTTATAAAGAGAAAAGGTTTATTTTGGATCACAGTTTTGGAGCTTCCAATTCATGATCCATTGGCCCCCGTGGCTTTGGGCCTGTGGCAGCAGATCCTGGATAGAGCATGTGGAAGAGCAAAACTGTTTGCTTTATGGCTAGGGAGCAGAAAAGAGTTAGGAGGAGGCTGAGGTCCCTCTGTAGCTTTTGAGGACATGACCCAATGACTTAAAGACTTCCCAATAGCACCACTCTGGGAAGCAAACCTGTAACATATGACATTTGGGGGATGTTAGCAAACCACACGGCCAGGAAGTGGCAGAATAAGGAATCCATCTAATTTCCTCTCACGCAAGAGCCCAGATTCCTATTCTCTGTGCTCAACGGGCACAGTAAGACATTGCATTATAGGGGTTTTTCCCACCATCGTCATGAACCGATGTTCGTGCTTATCAAATACTTTTGAAATTATTGGACCCTTCAACTTGCTTGAAAAGACAAGTAGAACACAACAACAAAACAGATTTTTTGAGGATTACACTTTTCTGTATGATTCTGTGTGTGTGTGTGTGTGTGTGCTCACACACGTTGTAGGAATTGAACCCATGGATGTTTTCCTACCTAACTACATACATCCTGAGCTCCTCTAACTTTTTTTTTTAATTTTTTTATTTATTTTTTTAAAATTTGAAACAGTATCTCATTAAGTTGTCAAGCCTGGCCTTAAACCTGCAACCCTCCTGCCTCAACCTCCCAAGTCACTAGGATTACAGGTGTGTGCTGCTTGATCAGGCCTGCCTTTCTTTTTAATGTTTACTTTTCAGATATACAGGTGGAACTCCAGGTAGACCTTGTTGTATCTCAAATTCAATATTTAAGAATTCCAATTATGATAAGCAATGGTTCTTATCATAATGTGTTGTTCCAAGCGTGAGCTGGGGACCAGTGCTAGTCCACACAGTTACCTGTCAGTGATAAATATAGATATTGAGAAGAAGCATTTAGAAGCCTCTGTAGTTATTTGACAGAGTAATTTTCAGTTTACTATCTTCATGCATTTGTGCTGCTCTAACAAACTGCCCAAGACAAACTAAAAAGAACAGAAATTTGTTTCTAACCATCCTAGAGTCTGGGATGCCCAACATCAAGGTGCCAGCACTGGTGTCTGGTGAAGAGTGCTCTCTGCTTCCAAGATGGTACCTTAATGCTGGTCCTCAGGTGGTAGAAGGTGGAAGGGACCATCTCTCTCTGAAGCCTGTTTTATAAGGGCATCAATTCATTCATGAAGGTATCACCCCTACAGCCAAYTCACCTTCTGAAGGCCTGACCTTTTAATACCAGCACAATGGGGATCAAGTTTTAAAAAATTTTTGGAGGGACACATTTAAACTATAGCATCTGTCGAAATCTCTATTTATGCAATCTGTTGATTACAGATTTTTCACTACCTTCAATGCATTTATTGTCATCAGAGCTTCTCTTCCTCTTCCTTCTGAACAAGATTATTTTGAATTTAGTGACTCCCTTGGAGATTCTGTTACACAAGTTTTTACTGGTATTTTGTA